ATTGTGGTAATAATCAAGTAATTAAAAGACATTGAAGACATTAAAAGATAAGAACGTTGGTTTGAAAAAGTCAACCGCCAGGACTGACGAAGACAGTTAGCCAGTGGGTGGTGGTGTTTTTTTTACACTGCTGCCCCCCCCCCCACACACACACCCGAGGAAATATTGAACCAAGGTCCGAAATTCCCCATGACGGGTGGTGTTCAGCTGATAAACCCACTGGTGAGGCATGCCGTTACAATCATACAAGGTATGTTTTTAAAACAAACATTTGACATACTACGTAGGAGGCTGTGAGCCTCCATAGTCATGAATGTGCATGCAGATACAGTATGTAGCAAACATGTAATGTATGTGTGAATGTGTAGGCATGTATATGACGCTTTACTACATTCTAATCAGTCTAGCAGTACACCAAACCATAACCAAAAAACATGTCCCATTCAAAGTGGTTACAGGTTTGTATCTTTGGAGCTAGTCGTAGTAAGGAAAACACCGTGACCAAACACTGCTAAACATTTGTTGAAAGCCAGCCTACTCATCTCGTCATTGACGTTATTTAAAACACTACATTGCTCTCCGGATACAGTCAATTCTAGAAACTCATTTCCAGTCAAAGAATACCTTTACGTAAGTTCCATAACACGTGCTTCATACAGATTGATTACATGTCCTACCTTAAGCTTGGTTTTTTATTGTCCAAACAGTACCCGTGCAGTCGCAGCCTTTGATGGCTGAATTGATGCAGGGTATCAATAATCAATACAAATCACAACAAACAAGTAAATACGCATGATAACACATATATTTTCTCCACAATTTTTGTGGAACTGTCGCAAGGGTCTGTGCGGCTGCCATTCGGCGCCACAAGGTGACCTCAATACGACTTTCCCCAACCGAAGTTAGGTACCCATTCACACCTGGGTGGAGTGAGGAAAGTCGTGTAAAGTGCCTTTCCCAAGGGCACAACGTCAGGGCGCATGTTCAGACATGTCCCGGGTACGACTCGGGTTCGAACCCGGGTCTCCCGACTCACAGTCGAATGATCTACCACTACGCCACCCGACGCCACTTTAGCTTGCTAACGTTTCGGTGTCTATCAGACAGGGTTTCTGACTGGAGCTCTGCGAGAACACAATCCCAAACGTCGCTTTGACTGGCAACATATAGCGGCGAGAAGCAGAACTCCAGTCAGAAGCTCTGAGGAAGGTGCCTGATAGACACCGAAACGTAAGCAAGGTAGGACAAGTTTGGTTGTGTAAAAGAAAACCCCTATATCCTATACTCTACCAACCTGATGAAACTTAATTCGGAAAATTGATTACATTTTTGTAGCTTTTATAAGCTCAATTAAAAAAGAGGAAAAAATACAAGATTTTAGAGCCACCAATCCAAGCCTTCATGATCAATATAATAAACAAGCAGGACGTGTGATATGAGTTAATTTTTTTGTTGTTTTTTGCTCGGGGCAAAACGTTAGCTTTTGGTTGATCTGAAAGCGTAGGCAGTCTTAGTCACGGGGGTGTTTTACTTATCCACTGATCCTCTGTGATTAGTCTGAGCAGAGCATTTGATGTGCTTCTACTTATAAGTGTACAAGTCGGGGGGTGGGGGTGAGAGGGTGCGAGGGGCAGATTGTAGCCTCCTTTGCAGGCTCCGGGGCGGGTGGAAATTGTGATACAGCGTTTTGACGCGCTCTTTTAATAGCCGGTCATCCTACAACCAGCCGAGAGAAGGTTTCATTCGTGGGCGGAATGGAACCTTCTCTCGCGGCTAGTTGTAGGATGGCCGGCTATGAAAAGAGCTGTATCAAAATTCCCACCCGCCCAGAAGCCTGCAAAGGAGGCTAGGAGCGTAACTAAAGCCCTGTCACACATTCAGAACCTTCTCCCGACCGATAAACAACCAGGGTTGGCTGAAGTTCAGAAGCACTCTGAACAGATTTAGGCAACGCATACCTTGCAATACAAATGAAATCGAATCTGAGTTAAGCCTGTCGTAAAAAATCTGGCCGATAACCACACATTAAACAATAGTCATGACAAGACCATTCAAAACAGACGACTGGCCCTTGCCGGTCATGTGGTACGCCATGAAGAGATGGCCGCCAAAGTGCTTCTCTAGCAACCGGATGTAAAAAGAAGGAGGGGGCGACCGTGCCTAACGCTAAAGAAACTGATCGAGGAGGAGTCATCTCGTGGAGTGACATTGTGAATGGCACCTCGAAGAAAGAAGATGACCTGAACTGAACTGAAACACTGCTGACCTACTCCCAGCCAACCACCGGTCAGCCATGACCGAACCTCCCGTCCACACCTGAAACATTTCAAAACCTGCGGCTGCAAGGGACATGCACCCGAACAGTAGCTGGCCTCGCTAAACATCAGGCGACCCTTTGTTTCACTTGACACTGTAAGGATTTTGAACACTGAAAAAAATACTATTTTCCTTCACTTAATACCTTTGACCTAGTGTTGACGTCACACTTCAAAGAAGCCACGTGACAAGCTTCACTGGGTCAGTCTACTGAGGAAGACCAGAGTGACTGGTCAAAGCTCTAGGTGAGATAATTTTTTTGCGTTGGACCAAAAGTTTTAACTTAAAACAACCAACCGACCCTGTTCCCGACCTACTCCCAACCACTCCCAACTGGTAAATTGTTATTTTTCCCTGCTGGGTTTTGGTGGCACGCAATCAGGAAAACAGCGCAGCCAGAAATCCACAATAACATCTTCTTTGAGATCATTTAGAATGCACAGACTAATAAACCCAAACATAGGACTGTCTTGCGTCGTTATACATGGTTGTCGCAAATCTTCACGAGCATGTCATGACAAGACAAAGCTAGCAACCTTCTTCACCTCATGGTTTTCCTTCCACACGACATGTTGACCCCTATACTTCTGACGTTCTGTTGGGAAACAGTTTGGGCCTTCCTACTCTGCTCGGTACCGGAGGAGGGACGTCTTCCTCAGAGGAAGGGGGTGAGTACTTCCCCCTGATGTTCAATTCGAAAGGACCATCCGTACCTTCTTTCTTCAGGTGTCGCCGGCGCCTTGACTCGATAGGCGGGGTTGTGCCGGACCGGTAGAGAATACCAGCACGGGGCACGGAGGCGGTGAGAGAATGGTGACGTTGCCCAGTTGGTTCTGAAGACTCCGTTCGGTACAAGTTTCTGTCATCAAGCCCGGGGCGTCTGTGGTGATGACGATTCTGCCTCCTCAGTTGTGACTGACGCTGCGTTTCGACGCCGATGCAGGTGACGCGATTTTGACGACGCATGTCCCTGCCCCGAACGGGTCGGTGCCGGCCGTACAGCTTCCCAGCGTCAAGGCGGTGGTGGTTTCCATCTTCGGAGTAGGCGGCGCTTTGGTCACTTTGGAGAGGTCCCCGCATCTTGTCGAGATCTTCGTCCTTAATTTCATCGTAGTCGTGCTGAAAGGAATGCCTCTTGGGCCGACTCTCGCTGCCGCTTGGAGACACTCGTGGACGCGGGAGGTTTCCTCCGATGACGTCTTCAGTCAGGTCAACCCTGCTTATGAATAGCAAAGTTATTTCTATCACAATTATTTGTTTTTCAAGCCAACGTTTCGATGACCTTCTGTCATCTTCATCAGGGCAATACTGACTGGTTTACTGTGCACTGACACTATATGTTGCTTGGTGCATAGTGCACTAAAGGTGTTACATAGTTCATAGTGCACTTCAGCTAGTTTTGTCTGTTTACAATGCGTTCCGGAACGTAGTGTAATTGTGACATACATACTAGGCATTGTTACATCATAGGGAAATATGCGGTTCCAAATGTATAGTGTTTCTATATATATAATATAAGATTTGTTAACTGACAATACTGAGCTATCACAGTCCCAAATAGAAATTATTATTAAAAGTCTTGTTACATGTGTATTGTTACGAATCATAATAGTTACAAACAATAAGAAAACCAATGTCAGTTATTACCTGCTTATGTTTGTGACCGGCATGCCTGAAAGCGCGCACAGAGCCGGGCCGGCCGCCATTTTGTCCAGCAAAGCCTGTCGTTTCTTCTTGCAGCGTTTGAAGCATTGCACAACGGAGAAGACGAGCAAAAGTGCCAGGATGACACCAAGGATGGCGGAGGCCGGTGCTGCAAGGGAATGAAAATGTGATTATTTAAGGATCCTTTTCGAATCAGTTTGTCAAATAAGCTGTAAAAAGACATTGAGATAAGGAATGTACTGTTATTCAAAAATCAAACCAAAAAAAATGGAAGCTTGGTATGTGTGCACTAACAAGGCAATCAATGTCAGATAGAAAAATGTCAATTTCTTTCAGTACATGTTCAACAAGTCAAGCAATTTATAACATACTAATTTATGGCTTACGTCCACTGAAACTGAGAAATAAGACTCACTTTTCCAAACAATGTCAAAGGGAAACTTGTAGTAACTGGCGGTGGTTCGGTCCAAGCTATAAGCAGTTGGGGTTGGGTGTTCTGTAGCTTTCCTCTCCTCGTTAACCTCTGTTCCCGTAGACACTGACGTGTTGTCGGCAAACGTGCCTGGTGGTGGACTTGCTGGGGCGTTGGGAGGTCTGGCTGTGGGTAGTTGAATGTCTCTCAAAAGTTTCCCATTTCTACACCTACCGAAGACAGAAGAAAAATGTCCAGACTATGCATGATGTACTAAATGACTAATAAACTGGTGGACGTCCCAACTACTAAGTACCTAATACCAGCCCAGAAGAGAACAAGAAATAGCCATGCCTTCAAGTAACAGAGTTATCAACCAAGAATTGAGGTGTTCAAGAATTCATTCTTTCCTAGAACTATTGCAGAGTGGAACTCACTGTCACCAAGTACAGTAGGGGCATTGTCAATAGATAGCTTTAAACAAAGTCTAGAGCTAGAAGTTCAAGGGTTAGGTGTAACAAGTCGATCGGTGTAATATAGCCAGCTGCCGCCGCGCCGCGTTTGATGTTTGATGTTTTATTAGATATCCATTAGATTAGATAACAAATCTAATCTATTCTTCCTGGATTCATAAAACAGTACACAAATGTAATACAAATTAAGGCACATAACATAACATAACATAACATAACATAACATAACATAACATAACATAACATAACATAACATAACATAACATAACACTTGCATACATTAGAATACAACTAGCATAAAATTACAAACAAAGCAATAATCAATATATAACAACTACAAAGCAGCACGACATTACCAGATCGCTTTTGGGAGGTCAGAGGTCGCATACAATGATAATATATTCAGCTTCTTGCTTGTGCCAGTACCTTACCACCAGTGCTTTAAGGGTTTGTATGTATCAGTCTTGTGAGTTATCATGTCGTTTATGATGTTCTTGAATAGTGTTGGTGTGGCTGACCTGGCATGTGGCGCCGCGTGGCTGCGAAGCTGGTGTGTTACGCCGAAAAGCGGTTATACCGGCTATAAAGATGCAAATACCTTAGTTGGACTCGTGGTCTCAGGTGACAGATAATGCCCTCCTTCTCTAGAGAGTCGAGGATGACCAGAACGCCACTCGGATGGAAATTGCAGTTTGACATCATGCACATCTTGACCTGTTTTGCATTCTTGTTCACGCAGCCCTCCTCACGGTGATTCCACACACACTGTCGTAAACGGACGATCCAGTAAACCTCGTCATCGCAGTGGAAAGAGTTTCCCCATATCCGAAAGTAGAAGATGTTTTGATGTGGCGTCACACCGCTCAGGAAGGTTTCTGGAAAAGTGGCGATGCGATTGTTCTGAAGCGAAAGGTGAGTCAGGGATCGAGGAAAGTCGACGCGGGCATCGACTTTTGAAAGTTTGTTGTTATTCAACGCCAACCTGGTGAGATTAGGCGTGCTGCTGAGGGACGACCACGAAAAATCTTTCAAACCATTCCGAGACAAATCCAGATTAGTCAGTCGGGGCATGGCCGGTAGTGATGTCACCTCTCTAATGTCATTAAAACTAAGCACGAGGTTGGACAATGTGCCGAATGTTAGATTGTTGGGTATGGACTTCAATTTTGATGCAAACTGTTTTCCGGAGCAAGACCCATCCGTCCAGCATGTTTTAGCTGAGTTTGTTGATGCCAAACGGAGAAACAGGGTAATAGAAAAGACGAGAAACATGTCTGCTCTGGTCATGGAGTTTTGAATTACATTTAACTTTTAACTAAAACGTGTTTTTTTTTGTGAGTACAAACTTTGAACTGTGATAAACTCGTAGTTACAGAAATGGTAAGATGATGTAGACGCACCTGCATGACAAATAAGAGAATGATTCTTAATATTGTTAAGACATATTCCCAGCATTATATATATATATATATACAGTGCACAAAATGACAGCTTATGCAATTTATAGAATAGAGATCATACATTCCATTCTAGCATTTTTTCTACATAAACTACCCAAATGACGTCCTGATTTGAATAATATATGTTTGTGATGTTAACCTTGACTTAACTTTCAAACACCCCAAGTATGGCATTCCATTTCCATTATGGATTTATAGCATTTTCTCATTAATCATGCAGATTAGGTATGGATTTACATAATGGCTATCTGCTGATGTTCCTCATTAATTGTACAAAATAGATCCAATTTACGTAATTGTCATCTAATGACGTCAAGCATCAGTTGAGCTATCAACATAATTGTCATAATTCACGACGATCCGTCAACCTCTTTAGTTATCCTCCTTCACATATGTTTAAACAAACGCTCTTGCACCTTTCCACTTCTTAAAAAATCATGACATGAACCTGGCACTTCGCAAAGAATTATTTTACCTCAGAATTTGAAGCTCCATTCCAGTATCGGGTACCAACTACGAGCCCATTATCGTACTCATTCACTAAATATCATAAAATCAACGGCTTCGTGAGTTACGTTGTCGACATAAACACACAATCATATAATTGCACATTCCGCTGCAGTACCGTAGAAAAACGCCTGGTAAACCATTTTCAAACTTGACCTTTGTTTTCACAACCACTATTTACCTACCAAATATGTAAAAGATCCATCGACAGTTTCTCGAGTTATGCTGTTAACGTTGAAATACATAAATACAGACCCAGACCACGGCCACTTCACAATGCACATGGCAAAACCAAAAACATATCCTTCTTGCTAAGGTAATTATATAAGATGTACACATTCAAATCAACGTAGAAAAAGGCAATATTTGTACCTGTTACGTTTCCATGACCAGATTTCAGGACTAGAAAAATCGTTCGACTCGGGATACAAACTGCAGTTTCCTCAGACAATGCTTGTGACATATATTTTTATGTTTCTATTTTATGTAACACATTACGTATAGCTACCTTGAATATGAATATTCTTTGACGCACGTTACTGGGTAAATTGTCTGCCGGCTTACCAAGTTCAGCGTTCAGCAGAATGTTATTCAGGTTTATTCATAAAGAAAAACACATAGCAGCCATAGGCTGAAATGCATGTTTCATCATACAAGGTATATATATATATATGTGTGTGTGTGTGTGTGTGTGTGTGTGTGTAGTCACTAGAACGCATCTGGTGAAAATGTTTTAAGGTTTCTGTATCTGCATCTGTATATCCGGTATAACCGCCCTTCGGCGTAACACACCAGCTAATTTGTCTTTCCAACATCAAACTGTTTTCTACGCTTTTAAAGCCCCGCTCCACAGGCGTTATTACCTTCGCCAAGAAGGTTATGTTTTCAGGGGCGTTCGTGTGTCTGTCTGTCTGTCTGTATGTGTGCGTGTGTGTGTGTGTGTGTGTGTGTGTGTGTGTGTTTGTAAACACGATAACTCAAGAAGGTTTTGATGGATTAGCTTGATATTTGGTAGGTTGGTAGGTCTTGATAAGATTACAATATATTATGCAAATATGGATGTAATTTGCATAATTAATGAGGAAATTCTAAAAATAAGCTTCATTCCATGATAGGATTATTTAAGCTTGTGACTTATGTAGTTAAAAAGGAAAGAAACACAGGCAGATATCAACTATGCAAATGAAGACTTAATTAGCATAATCAATGAGAGAATGATATACTTCCATTGTGGTGACTGCCTGGAATTTCATACTTGGGCATTTAAATGTTAAGTGAAGGTGAAAAGCATTAAACATAACTTATTCAAATAAGGGCCTCATTTTTTTTTGCAATTTTCAGACCAAAAATGTATACTTTGGCAGCAGTTAGGCTCCTGTGTCCTGGTATGAAACCCATATGACCCGAAAGTTGGCTTGGGAGTGCCTTGGACAAGTGGTCACAAAACTTTTGTTATACACCACTTCAAAATTATGTATTTTGGGATCTTTTGCTACTTTCAAACCAAAAATGTATATTTGGGGCTCCTGTGTCCTGGTATCATATCCAAATGACCCGAAATTTGGTACGGTTGTGTCTATGGCATATGGCCAAAGGACACTATTAATATTTTTGCAATGCAGGGAATGCTAGAATGTCTTTCTTTATTTCAAATAACACTGTCATTGGGTGAAGAATCTAGCTCCAAATGATCCGCCCAGCTTCAAAGCTTAACTTACTTCCTCCAGCTGCTTCTATTTAAGAAAAAAAACAAGAGTTCCACGATCTCATACCTTCGCCAAATGATGTTAACCTTTCCAGTTTAGGATTTCATTGATTGGTACGTAGGAAAGCCGCCAGGTGGCCCAAAATCTAATCATTTCTAGGTCTTACCAAGACCTACCCACCTACCAACTTTCATAACAATGCATATAAAGCTTCTTGAGTTATGCTTTTTACAGACAGACAGACAGACAAACAGAAGGACAAACGCTACTGAAAACATAACCTTCTTGGCAAAGGTAATAAACGGTTACCCTCAGTAAAGCGGTGACCATGAACGAGAGGTTTAAAGGTCCAGGTTCACAGAGAAGGCGATGACTGGGACGCGGACGACAGAAACGCGCAAGGCGTAGGCGGCCGGTATTCCTAAGGCCAAGTTGATTCGATTATATGGATTATCCTGTGAACCCCAAAACTGATGCGCGCGTGCGAATAAAAAAAGATTGGCCAAAAAAACGTTACTTTCATCATGAAATCTACGTGGTCATGAAGGTTCAACAAATGACACAGAGTACGGTATGGCTAACTCTTCAAATTCATCTGTTTACACTTTCGTCTTTTTCGTTTAATTTTGGCATTCTACCACATTGGTATCGTTTTCCAATATCTTTTTTAGCAACTTACGGTATATAATTTGCTCATTTTGCAACTGTTTTGTACGATTTACTGTACATGGTTGAAAACTTTTTTTTGGAAACGGCCGAAAATTCATGCGCGCGCGGATGTCATCCATATAATGCAATCAACATGGCCTATAACCCCCTCCTAAACCCCAATTGTCTGTGTCAGCCTTACATGTACATCAGACCGATTACATCAGCAGGTTCGCGGAAAAGCCAAACGTACTCATGACTATGGAGACTAATTCCAGGAAAACGTGGGCTGCTGTTTGGAGGCGTCGGCTGCACACCGGGCCGTTATATGCAAATTATGTCTCTGATCGGTACGGTATAGATTGCAAATACCAGCAGCATTGCTTCCTTTCTTATACATCGTCATGCAAAGGGACACAAAAACAGTACCGACGAGCAAAAACCTTTAGAACTGAGCTTTGTACAAAGAAATGTAAACCAACAGTGTGTAATACTGTATATCACTCAGCCAATTTATTTGTCTAGCACATGGTCATATATAGCTCAGACGAGCACGTGGCAGTAGTATGACGTTACGAATTCATCATATCATATATCATATGATAAAAACGTCTACGAAGACATGAAGTGAGGACTCTGGAATCTTCAGAAGCAGGTAAGGCGGCTCTGTTTGAACTACTAGTCAATTTGTAATCCTTGCTAATAATTCAATTTATAAAAATGAGGGGGATTTGATTATGAAAAGCATCATAATTTCAAATCAGTACAATCTACGTTTTTCTGTACTTAACTATACAAAGAAATGTCTTTCAATGTCATAAGTGACCCTATGAATGTTTACTGCAGGTTTTAAAAATATTTTCTAGATTTTTAGATTAGTACTGTACACGCATAACACCAAATCGTGCAATGGGTTTATTGACCGTAATAAGTTCTCCACATGATAGGCGTGTTTAACACGATTCAGTTCTATCTTTAGAAGCCACAAAAGATCACGAAGTGTTCATGTTCAAGGTTCACTCTGTTCATGTTCATGGTCTAATGCCCAGAATAAAGCACACAGCTAAGCACTCCTTGCACGTGTAATACTACTACATGTAGTAGTAGTAGTAGTAGTAGTAGTAGTAGTAGTAGTAGTAGTAGTAGTAAATTCTTTTGATAAAGCAATTACTACTACTGCTACTACACACAACACAGAGCAAAACGGCCCTGTATTAAAAAATGAATTGCGCCGAAATTTACAATCAACATAATTTTATACGGTAAACCAAATCAGTAAGTTATTATTATAGTTGGTGTATGTACAAAGTAGAAAGGCCAACATTTGCGTGGGATCAAATAGAACGTACTAGTAGTTTATTCCATCTCCCTACTCATAATATGGACTGTTCCAAACTCACACCGGTGTAAAAGTAGAATATTCCAAGATGAATAATGCCCAAAGCGAGTTATTTGTCAAATCATCCAAGTTTGAATGGAGCCTTCCAAATTTGACACCAATTAAAAGGATTGTCCCCCCCCCCATCAGTCAAGAATGGACTCTTACATCGGCCCTCTTGCATGTCCAAAAACATTTTCACAAAAAATACTGATAAATACTTTTTTTTAAAATCCACCGTCTCCAATGTTGCAGAATAATACAAACTGCCATAGTACATTTCAAGTGACGCCCAACACTCTTCTTGAGCGTCACTAAGGCCACAGCAAGTAATTTTACGGATGACATCAGCGCGCGCATTGATTTTCGCCTGATTTGGAAAAAAAAAAACAAATTTTGTTGCCCTTTGACAGTAGTCAACATGCCGGAAATGGGCAACATGGCATGCCCTGCCATGCTGGAACATGTATGGCAGATACACATGAAGAGAGGAGACAAGACAAGGCTCTGATTTACTTTGATGCAGTGATGTATTTCATTCCTTTTATATTCCCACTGAATCAAAACCATTTGTACAATGATTGAAAACCTTTCTTTTTCAAAGTTGTTTCAGTGACAAATGGATGTTATGATAGTTGGCAGTAAAGTTAACACATATAGTTATCATTTCAGGGTTTATGATGTCAAAATGTGAAAATATAGGAATCTTTTTTTTTGGGGGGGGGGCGTCTTGTCTTCTTTCGCCCTCTCGCATTAGTTTTAAAGTCTGCGGAGAATGTCATCCATAAAATTTACTTGCTGTAGCCTAACAGAACTAGTCAATGACTACTAGTATTACGAATCTTTGTCATGTTCAAAGACGTAACACATCAGTTTTATACAGTAGATACAAGCTGCTAAAGATTGGACCGTAAGTTTAAGGTTTGATCCACTCACACCGGGTCGATCGGACGACTACTCTTTCCGATACGTGTGTCGGGTTCTTTAACTTCCTCGGAGTCTCCGTGGTTTACGTCCCTAACCAAAGCTAGACACATTTTTACCCGAGTCAAGTGAGGAAAAAATGTGTAAAGTGCCTTTCCCAAGGGCACAATATACTAGTACTTGAACCTAGAACATTTAGATTATCCATCAACAAGCCTAGCCACAAGACCAGACCACAGTGCAATTTTACGGAATACAGTGCAAGTTTACAGAATACAGTGCAATCGTATTAGCATACAGAGCATTTTACTACTAAAACTGTATACTAGTAAAATTGCACTACATACTAATACGATTGCACTGTGTTCCGTAAAATTGTACTGTATACTCTGGTACCCCTCGGCACCGTCTTTAGACAGATGGGTCTGAGTCCAGCAAAAAATAGCCAGCAACAATGAACGAAAACTAATTCATTCGATTCCTTCCTTTCATACAGGACATCGAGGCCAGTCTACTATTTGGTGCAATTTCTCTAAGACTATATGCCTTCCAACACGTGGATAAGGCAGTTTGGACGATAAAATTTGGCTCTGTTGCTGCGCAAAGACTGTATGTAAACGTAAGGTCCCGTAGCCTTTATAAGGCCGTAGGGGCAGTGGGTTGTTAATCCACTGTGTCTAGGGCACGGTATTGGAAGGTAGAGCCCATCACCCTCCTTCCGCCGCCTTTTACCTCCCCAACCGAAGTCAGGTACCCATTTTATACCTAGGTGGAGTGAGGAAATTGGTGTTAAGTGTCTTTCCCAAGGACACAAGATCAGTGCCATCGGGCAGGATTCGAACCCGCGACCTCTTGAATCGGTAGAGACGAACACCCTTCCGTTACGCCACACAACCCCAGCGCAAAGACTGTAAAGATGATGAACTTGGCGGCTACCATTTTCCCGATTGACATTCATACGACTTTGACCAAAATCCTGGTCATAACCGTCATTCTGCTACCGAGTTGGGCACAGGAAAAAATAGACACGTACGCCGAATGCTGGACTTTCGGTCACTGCTCAAAACAGAATTTAAAGACGATCCCCCACGATGTAACGTCACTTCGCACCTTAGGTTCGCTGCTGCTGAACCAAAATAGCATAGAAGAGCTGGCGTCGATTCCAGAAATGACGAGACTGTGTCATCTTGATCTGTCCCGGAATCGTTTGAGAAAATTTCCTTGGTGGTCTCTACGTAGTACGCCGAATATAACTACTCTGAAACTTAATAACAATGAGATTTCCGAAGTTGACGCATACGTTGACTTCCCTCAGTCTTTGCGATGGCTGTATCTTCAGTCTAACCGCATTGCTACGATTCCTGAAACTTTTCTGAGCGGATTGAAGCAACCGGCCCTCTTTCTGTGTATATCACAGAATCCTCTCCTTTGTGACTGTACGATCCTGTGGATCGCACGTTTGCGGCGATGTCTGTGGGAACACCGACACGAAGGCTGTGTGAACGCTAATTCGGACAAAGTAAAGAGGTGCGTATTGGCCAACTGTAACTTCCAGGCGAACGGCGTTATACTTATCATGGACCGGGTTGTTATGAACGGAGTCCCCTTTATCAGACAACTGTCACCCGGTCAGTTACTGAAGTGTGCTGCACCGCAAGAACTGAAAGGTAGATTGTTGAGAGATGTTACGTCAACGACTAGTCTGTGTAACGCAAACTCTGCCGTCCGCGGCTTTAGTGGCCCCTCCTCGCAGATCGGGGGACGGCCGGATGTTGGGCGGCCGGCAACCGTAAAGCGATTTAATCAGGCTACTTCAACAACTTGCACATCTCTGACCACCCCGGAGAGTTCGCAGCAGGTGTTGTCTTCAACGACGCCATGGTCAAGCCAGGGTAGAACAGCACAACTTGACACCGCAGAAAGTCGAATGGCCACCATCATTGACCAGTGTGTTCGAAGCTTCGTGATCAGCTTTTGGAAAGGTAGAATTTTTTCTCCATTTCTAGTGGTAGTAGCGGTTTGTATAATATTATGTAGTAGTACCAGTGTCTATAACTAGCATAGCGCGGCATTAAATTCGTGATCAGTTTTTTTGGGAGAATTTGAGTTTGATCATGAGTTTTATACCTGATATGCACGCTACTGGTGGTGTTTTGTTGACCCTTGATGTGTATATGTGTGTGTGTGGTTGGGGGGGGGGGTGGCATGGTTTCTATGTTTGTGGAGAGCCATAGAGCTCTTATGCTTGCTAGTCTAAGGCCACACCAAGTACATTTTATGGATGGCAGACTTCAAATTTAATGCGGGCTGGCGAAAAAAAACAAGGCGGGCCGAAAAGAAAAACAAGGTTCCTACATTTTCAAATTTTGCCTCAATCATTGTACAAATGGTTTTCATTCAGTAAGAATCACATATCACTGAATCAAAGTAAAAAAACAAACAACATTAGATCAGAGCCACTTTATTGTGGTAAACTCATTCATGTCGTGCTCTCCGCCTTCCCACAGAACTCCTAACAGCCTTCCTTGGAGCTGTCCTGGTCATCACAGCTGTCGCCATCATCGGTCTCCGAGTCAAATCTCTAGTGTGCAGCGCTTATCGACGACTCGCGGGTTCTTCAGATGCTCCTCACAAGAAAGAAGGGCCGACGTCTTCAGCTTCAAGACGCCGTGAAGACGTAGCTGCCGATAACGACTACACAGAAACGATCGTAAGCCCGCTTTCGAACTTGAGTAGTGACGAGGACATCCCACCTCCGCTGCCGCCCAGGAGAGGGAGTACTGCACCTTTGCGCTAAGGGTATTATGTTTTCTTTAACCCTATTCAGACCGGGCTTTTTAGGGCATACTGGCTGGGGCTGGGAGGGGGGGGGGGCTTTTGAGGCTCGCCCCCTGTAACTCAACAACTACTTCGGCATGAAAGTTCATCTGAGTTGGTAAATTACATTATGAAAAATTTTAACTGTTCTCCAACTGATAAATTTCACTTACCGGAATTTTCGACTGAATCACTCAGTATTCCTCAGCTATCTGACCCAAATGCTGTGGACACGTGATTTTTCCCACGTGTGACGTCAGTAAAGGGTCAAAGGTTGTCTGAAGTCAACCGGGACGGGGGGAGGTATCGACTTCAGACAACCTTTGACCCTTTGCTGACGTCACAAGTGAAAAAAGTCACACATTTGGGTCAGTTAGGTGAGGAAAACTGAGTGATTCAGTCGAAAATTCCGGTGAGTGAAATTTATGAGTTGGAGAACAGTTTAAATTTTTCATAATCAACAACTACTTGTCGTACGGCCACCAAATTTTCAGAGAATGTAGTAGTAATAAAAATGATACATAGCAACAACTTTGGTGTAAGTATGACGTTATATGACGTCAGATTAGAATAATTTATGAATGTTTTGTGATGTTATCAATGTTAGAAAGGAAGTGTAATTTAGTATAAAACCAGGAAAATGTTTATGTTTAAACCAAAATTACTGAATTTAAAAAAAAAACTGCCTGTCAGAAACCCGTTGCAACACGAAATTTAATTGAATTATCCAAATAATATGAAATTGTTGCCAGATATATTTTAAGAAAAGTCACCAATTTTGATGGTTCTAGCGTAATCCGTTCATGTACTATCTCACATAAAAGTTGGCGCGGGCCTCAAAATTCCCCCCCCCCCCGTCTGAATAGGGTTAAGGCCATGTTGATTTGATTATATGGATGTCATACTCTGGGAACCCCAAAACTGATGTGAGCGTGCGAAAAAAAAAGTTTGGCAAACAACGTTAACTTCATTAATATTATGACATCTACGTGGTCATAAAGGTTGAACAGTATATGGTATAGGCAATAATAATAGACTCTTTATTTTCATTTCTTCACATTTTATTCTTTTCCTAAATTGATTTTGGCATTCTATGACATGAGTATCGTTTTCCAATCCTTTTTTTTTTTGCAACATACGACATATATTTTGTACGATTTACAGTGTGGTTGAAAACTTTTTTTTTTATGGAAAGGGCCGAAAATTCATGCGCGTGCGGATGTCATCCATATAATCAAATCAACATGGGCTAACAATCTGTGAAAGATCAAATCAAGGATAACAAGAAATTTTAAGAATTGTCTTAAGGAGTATAATAAGATCGGGTTTGTTACACAATTGTCTTGAAATCTTGACAACATCTATTTGGACTGCAAAGAACTTTAAGAATACCACCACAGCTTACTCTCTGGCTCTACGTGCAACCACGCTAGCCTCCGTAGCAGGCTTATAGAACTGGGGGTTTGGTGGTCTTCGGCTGTTTTCTGATTAGCCCAGTTCTTAAAAAAACGGGGGTAATTCAACCAGGCCGGCTATGTTGTCTATATGCAATCAGAAAATAGCACATAAAAGCTCCCAATTGCAAAGACCCTGAAGACCCCCCCCCCCACAAAAAAAAAACACCCAGTTTTTGCCAAGCTATGGAGGCTACGCCCACGCGTCATCTCGTCACGCAGAAATCTCAGACGAAAACAAAATTTACATTTTCGTAGAAAAACAAAGCACTCCCACGACAATGGAGACTTCCAGGAATCAAAGTCTCCTACGCAAGACAGTTTTTAACATTTTATCTTAACTTTAAACTTTAGCAAATTGCCCGATCTGATGTTGATGAAACTTTATTATTACACACATTGTACATTCCTCATTTGTATTTGATTTATACACGTCTTTATCTTGTAAGATTACAGTCATTTATTTGTAGATATTGTGGTATGTGGTTGTAAAAATGATTTTTCTCTTTGTTACCGTAGTTTACAGCAGATTTGACATATTATATGTTGGTGTTTCAAGCACAGGTTCTGTACAACGTACAGCTTTAATGCTTACAGAATTGGAGGAAAGTCACAAGGCCTTGAAGTAAATCTGAAAAATGAAATGATATTAGTATACGTTGTATTGTAGACCTACAAAACGCACTCATGAATATGGAGACTTCCAGGAATCGAAAGCTCCTACATAGAAGTCAAATTTCAATCCCAAATATTATACAATGTATTTCAGCCATACCATGGTATAACTGAAATATATTGTTTTCCCTCATGTTTCATCTTCTCCTCCTTCTCCTTCTCCTGCTATTTCTTTAAATGGATTAATTTTTTTCCCATTTTTGTGTACTGCATGGCTCAACTTTGTTTCTGTTTACTTTAACTGGTACAGGAAACATTGAAAATCACCTGTACCGGACAGGTTTTACCGGCACCACTCGTCAATCAATCAATCAATCAATCAATCAATCAATCAATCAATCAATCAACCTGCCACTTTACATCAAAATCAAGTTTACTGCGTTACAAGACATATTGTTTTAACGAGCGTTCTGTGATTCCTTTCATGGAAAATCGGTAACTATTCAAGAAAATTGTATCCGATTTTTTTGTGTAAAGTCGACGCTGTACAGCAATATGTAGTTTTATGACCTTTTAAACCAAATTATAACTGTAGCAGACAGTACGTTTTACTATTCACTTTCACTACTATATATTGATATATTATTCATTTTTCGTAAATAGTATCATTTCTATTGAAAATTGCCTTCAAGTAGTATGATCTTGTTATAACGTTCACTACAGATATTTACCTGATGTATTTGAACGCCTTTATGAAACTGACACGTGTATGTATATGTGTATGTGTATGTGTATGTGTATGTGTAGACATACACTGTAAACTAATCTGTATTTTATTTTACCCTAACTGCAATTATTTTTTTCTGCATTTGTAATAAGTGTATCAATAAAAGTTTCATAACTACATTTGCAAATGATTCATGTGTGATTCTCATTGAAAGAAAAGAAAGAAAGTGAAGTGATACTAGTAGTTCGTTGTCGTGTGATATAAAGTGATGACTTTGACCCTAAGGCCATGTTGATTTGTTTATATGGATGACATCCGCGCGCGCATGAATTTTCGGCCGTTTCCAAAAAAAAAAGTTTTCAACCATACTGTAAATCGTACAAAACAGTTGCAAAATGAGCAAAAATATACCGTAAGTTACATAAAAACCATACCAATGTCGTAGAATGCCAAAATCAAACGAAAAAAGACGAAATTGTAAAGAAATAAACTTGAAAACTAGATTATTCCCCAAACCATATCCTGTTCCATTTGTTCAACCCTCATGACCACGTAGATTTCATAATGAAAACAACTTTTTTCTTTTGAAAACTTTTTTTATTCGCACGCGAGCATCAATTTTGGGGTTCCCGGAGAATGTCATCCATATAATCAAATCAACATGGCCTAATTGATATTCAAAGGGTGACTGTTAACATCGTGGTCAGAATAGTAGGAACATTATTGTTCTTTTACTATTTTATCTTTGGCCATGTAAAAAGTAAAAAAAAAAGGTGTGTTAACCCGGAGCCCAGTCGCCTGCTACGGTCACTACCCCTCCTAATCTCCAAGCAGATCATACGGTGGTAAGGCAGTGTCCATTGGGCAGAGGAGTGTCCATTATTATTTAGCTGCTAGAAACAAATTGAGATCTTGCAGACTGTTCAAGACTACGTATAATGGAGAAAAGTATCTAAATCTCGACAATATACGGCATAGGACCGCCACTACAAAACTCAGGATAAGCTGCCACAAACTACACATTGAAACCGGACGCCATAACCGCACTCCCCTGAAACAACGAATATGTAAGCATTGTAATCTAAATAGGATAGAGGATGAGGAACACTTTGTATTAGAATGTATAAACTATTGCAATGTATGTTTCCCAATTTCATACACCTTAGCAACACAGATAAGTTCATATTTCTAATGGCTTTAGACAAACCTTCGATTATACAACACGTCTTATATCTACATCGTTACTAAAAAGCGAGAAGAAGCCAAATTATCGTATTTATTAGACTATATGTCCATAGTACATAGAATTAGCGCTAGCTTGTACATTGTATATATTCATTGCAAACCGTGACGTCTTATCTAGCTGTGACCTGTACTGAACCCAGTGGGTATTTGCGCACAATAAAGGTCTTCATTCATTCATTAGCCTTCGGTGGCTAATAGACACTCCTCTGGCCAATGGACACTGCCTTTTGCCACCGTATGATCTGCTTGGAGATTACCCCCTCCTACAGTCGGCTAGTGCTCTGTAGTTAATGTTGTGTATTGTATGACTCAGGACGAAATAGTAGCTAATGCTAAACCAGGATCGGGCTTGCAGCTCACGGAATTATTTCCCCAGATGACGTATTTGAGTATTAGGTAATCTCCTAGCAGATTCGGTGGGGCAAAGGGGATTTTTGTCGGTCACCAGTATCCATGATTGACCGCCCCGGGCCGCGGTTATGAGGTCTCCACAGGCCGGCTTAGGGGAGTTTTACCCGCCCCAGTCTAGCGCTGCTTACCATTCTCATCCTCCCGAAGCAGGGTCGGCGGCGCGCAAATCGTAAAGTCGTAATCAGCTCTGATGAGGATTTAACGTAATTCATTACAATCATGTTTCTACGATTCTAAACACGATGTTCACCGTTATTTTGAATCTCACGGTCAAAGTCATAAAGAACAAAGAACTGTCAATGAACATCACACCGAAATCAAAAGTATTCATAAAACTTTTATTGATACACTTCTTACAAATGCAGTAATTGTGGTTAGAGTACATACACATACAGATACCAGTTATAAAGGTATAAAGGCGTTCGAATACATCAGGTGAACGTCTGCAGTAGTGAACATTATAATAAGCTCATGCCTAAAGGCAATTTGCTATAGAAATACGTGTAATATGAAATGGTTAGTAAAGAAATATAAAATTTAGGCATGATATAGGCATTTATATACATGTATATATATAATGGTGCAAGAGAATGCTAAAACTTACTAGTATCTGATACAGTTAAAACAACATATTGCTCTACAGAGTACATTTTGTACCAAAAAAATTCTGGAGGTCTGAAGTAACCATCTTTACATGGAAAAAAAATCACAGATTGCACTCCAAAAGAATAACATTCTGTTGATAAAATAATTATAAACTTGATGTTGATCTACTGTAGAAGGGGCACGTCATCCCCATCTCTGAACCACTGTTCGTCTGGAACTGGTAATAGAATTTCATCTCGCAGTTCCGGAATGTTCTGCACGGGGGCATGGACCTGAACTTCCACAATGTTCCTGACTGGAGCCTGTTCTAGCTGTTCCGGAATGTTCCGTTCTGGAGCTTGTACCTGCTGCTGAGGCTCTGGGTCCCGGGGTAGAGGATCGCCCAGAGCGTCTCGCAGCCGCCTCCAGAACAGCGGCCTTTTCCGCACGTCGTGAGGCCAAGTCAGGTACGTGTCCCTCCTTACTACGGCGTTCAGATGGCGGAACCGTTTCAGCATTCGGTCAGGAATCCCCTCCAGAAACACCAGGATGAGACGCACCCCTCCCCCCTCCTCAAACATGTGGTACTGGGCCAGTTGGAACTCGTACTCGCACCACTTACTCTTCAGGAAGTTCCTGGTAATCAGGCAGACGGTTCTCCGGCTATTTTCAACGGCATCCGCGATGTTTTCCACAATGGGAGCGCCCACTGCAAAGTCCCTTTCGTGTATGACCAGGCTGTAGTCAGGTTCCAGATTCTCTATCGCTTGATGTATAACCCACGCGACGTCCCGGTTGTTGTAGGCAATAAAAGCATCTTGCGTGTATCTGGGCGGCCCTCGGTTCTTTACTTCTCCAATCTTCGGTCTCCTCCACTTGGCCAACATCCACAGGCAGTACTGAACACGGCCGACGTGGTAGTCGACCAGGAAAATGGCCATCATGGCGACGAAGATGCCCGAAGAGGCGAGCACACAAGCCAGGAGGCGGTTGGGGCGGAATCCATGACTACAGACTCTGTCGAAGAACTTTCGTTCGGACGAATCCTGTGTGTCGTTCGAGTGCTGTTGCTTTGTTAACCCGTCTATCAAACGTCTTCCACGCAGTTCAGGTGGACGGGAACACGTGTACCGTCGAAGGACGTCAGGATAGGGGTTGTTCCAGTTCTCTACCCTGTTGTATTTATCCTGGGCCAACTCGACAAACCACATTAACTTACAGTCACACAAAAATGGGTTGTCTGCAATGTCGATAGTCTCTAACCGGTATACAACAGGACCCAGTGTTGTTTGATTTAATACAGCCAACCTGTTGCTCCTCAGATTCAGGTGCCTCAACCCGTACCGACGCTGAAAGGCGTCCCCAATCACTGCTATGCTGTTGGCTTCCATGTTTAGATGTGTAAGGTTGCCTAAACCTTCAAATGTCACCTCTGATATATACGTTAGCCTGTTGTTACTGAGATCCAGGTATTGTAGCCGCGATAGTCCATGGAAAGCGGATGCCATGACGGTGTTGATCTCGTTATGACTGAGATCTAGATGTTCCAGCTGGTCCAACCCTGCCAGTTGTCCTGTTTTGATGCGCTGGATTTGGTTGTGAGAAAGAGTCATCGTTTTCAAGTTTTTCATTTTACCTTGTGGTAAAAAGTCTAGCTCGTTTATAGCGTTGTTATGCAGCCTAAGTGTTTCCAAAACTGTTTGCCCACAGGGTGGACCTTTATTGAAAAAAAGGGAGAGGCCATTGTTAGAAAGATCAAGATAACGCACAGTGGCAAAGCAGAATGCATTCATCATCATATCTATATTGTTGTGCTGCAAATCGAGCACAGTAATGTTCGTAGGTAGACATTCGACTCCAATAATGCCGATTTCATTACGGCTCAGATTCAGATGATTCACGCTTTTTAAACTACTGAGGTTAAATGATAAAGGGAAGTGACATGGGGATGGTTGAAATACCGGTATGTTGTATAACATATTTTCACTGAGATCAAGGTAGTCCAAGGTCTCTGGAAGCTGAGCTTGGGAGGCGTGTAAGGTGTTAGATCTCAAATCAATGTGAGTGAGCGAGGGCAGTCCTTCAAACACGTCTTGTGGTAAAGCAGAAATTCCGTTATGTGACATGTTAAGATGAGTGAGCGAGGACAGTCCGCTGAACGCCTTGTCGTGTAAAGTTAACACATCGCTGAAGTCATTGGTCACATCCAGCCTTTGTAAATGTGACAAACCCGCAAAGGCGTTAGCTTCTATGGCGTAAATATGGTGGCAATCAAAACGCAAGTTTTTCAAAAGTTTGAGACCTTTTGTTCCCGCAAGAGTATCAGATGTTATAATTATGTCCTCTGGCTGGGCGTTGAGAAATGACAACTCCTGAATCTGCGTGTGTCGGAGTTCAGGCAGAACACCCATAATGGTACTAATCTTATAATAATATGAGTCATTATCCAGCGTCTGCAGATGTGTGAGCGACTTCAGCAGGCCGGGTGCTATCCCAGCGATAGCAGTGCGTAAATGTTTCAGAGTGGGTAGCAGCGGTCGGAACATTTCAACATTGAGGGTCAATGTACATGACTGTATTTCTATAGTATCCAACTTGGACATGTTTCTAAATACAGGTCCAAAGTAGAAGTCAGTCGGTCTCGGTAGATCAGTGAGACTCAATGTTTCAAGGTTGTGCAGCGGTGCCCAGAGTAAGAGTCGTTGCAGGAACCCACTTCCGCTGTGGACTCTTCTCGTGGTGGAATTTCGGTCCTCGAGCTCTTTTATGTCATCGCCGAGTTCCCGTATCTCTAGACTTTCCAATGAAGTCAAAGACTCAAAAATATGATCGGGTAAATTGCCGATATTTTTCATCCGGAGTTTCAAATGCCTGAGTTTAGATAACCCCGAGAACACTCCCTCGCTGGCGACTATATCTGTGTACGTCTCCACGGTCAGATAGTTCAGGTTTCGCAGATCTTGGAAAAGTCCATTTTGAAGAGAATACAATTGCGTCGTATTTCGCACAGAAGTCAGGTAAAAAGGAAGATTATACCGATCACCTAGATCAAGACTTTCTAATGTCTCTAACCCAGCAAATGTACCAACCTCGATAGTCTGTAGATTGTTATAAGACAGGTCCAAGGATCTCAGGTTTCCTAACCCACTAAACGAGCCGTTATACAGTATGGTTATGTTGTTCCATCGGAGATCTACTGTGATGACAGACTCGGGGATGCCGGGGGGTACCTGGGTTAGACGCAATCGGGTCCGTACAGGCGGAACGGGTAGAAACTCCGGTATATCTGTATCCCCTTTACACACGACGGTTGTTGAGTTCCATGTCTGACACACAGGTGGGGGGAGTTGTCCTCTAACCCGTCCATGTTGGGCGATGAACGCGAGAACCACAGCCAAGCAGACGGCGAGAGGAGCGGGTTTAGACTCCATGTCGGTCTGGTGGCTTTTTTCTCGGGTTCGTCTCGTTGCTCGGGCCGGTGGAGAGTACGATATGAACACCTGGAGATTGTAGTAAATAGGGGGGGGGGCTTAATTTTTTTAAAATTTCTTATAGCATTTCACAAAAAAATACATAAAAAATACAGACAAAAAGGTCAAAGGTCAAGAACTAATAAAGACATAAACCACGGATCCATAATAGAAGGTGGAAAATAAAAAAAATTATAACGTAAATAAATAATATCCACCATAAAAGCAGAATAACAAATGGTAAATATTATAACGAAATAGTAATATACAGCAAAAAGAAAATGACAATATCGATGACTTACGGAGTTACTTACTTAAAATCAACTTAAATATGACATTGGGATGATATCAAACAGAAGTAAGTATGACAGAATAATAAAAAAAATGAATATGCGAACGTCAATAACAACCAAAATATCAGAACAGTCAATATCCTCATTAATTATGCAAATGACCTGTACATTAACATAATATATACATAGTGGTGTGAATATTTAAGTAACACGATGGTCAGATTTGGGCCCAAAAGTCCCACTCCGCTACTATGGAGATCGAATCCCCCGAACCCGCGAATCTTGTTCGATATGACGTCATTCGAATAGAGCGGGCGTTCGATCTGGGGTTACCCGCGGTCATTTACAGTAAAGCCGCTACAACCGGCTACTTCAAGCCCTTTTTTACTTGGGAACCACGGAACAGGAAAAATCCACCTTTCCACAAATATGAACCGTTTTCAAAACATTACATCTATGCCGTGATTTTATTGTGGATATGTAACATGTAACGAAGCTACTGCCGTCATCGTGGGTGACCTTGAAGGTCAGAATTCTTGTTGACGCTGTTATAAAATCCAGGTCCCCATATCCAAGTGTCATAGCACGCGTGCAAACATGGTATTTTAACCATTCCCAAAAATCGTTCAAATTACCTCATTGAGATCTT